GCAACGGTGTAGCCAAGATTTCATTTTAGGGGGTGCGGATTTTGTGATAGCCCCGGTGCGCACCCTTCGCGTGCTGAATAGGGGGGGGGGCAAAGCATAGCGGGAGGGGCGCCTCTTGTGCCCCCCTGGATCCGCCACTGTGCAATGGGACCACTATAATTTTATTACACGAACTATGGTATAAGAAGTGGATGACCCTGTGTATAAATTCTTAATCTAACCTGATAATAAAGCACAAAGTTTTCACGGACACTAATATTAATATTATCATTTGGAAAACACCAAATAAACATTACACCACAAAAAACTGCAACGAGTTTGATACAATGTTGACAATATATTTACTTTCAAAAAATTGTTTACAACGGTCACTCTCATCCAACGCTCTTGTTTATTACTGATTGCAATATCAAATGTGCCTGAACAAGTTACCAGTACCAAAGCGAATTGTTCATTCAAAATGTACAAGAAATCATAAGAGCACGTTATTATAACCTAGCTAACTATAACCCTGTATAGTTTCATGGGACACACACAAAACAACTATTCACAAGCCGTTTGTTACACACAAATATGATAAGTCTTGTAAATAAGTCTGACAATCCTGCCAGCCCTGATTTCGAGAATATTGATTTCTACTGTATAACCTAAATTATAATCCATAACAAATTGGCCAGTCCTGCTCAAAAGTCACCGGTCCCACACCTTAGGGGGAGGGTGACTGACTGTCTGCTATTTTGAACACCGATGATAACACAAAAATCTGGTCTCGATACATTTACAGTAAACTATGTCGCTTCCACAATGCTCGCATACAACACTGAGCATTTCTAGTATTTAGCACTTATAAGACAGATGTACCCGCACCAAGAATATGTACAGTCTGGCCATCACAGCTTCCACAAAGCTCAGTCTTTGCTAAGTCAATGTGACTGTGTTCCATTCAGGTTCATCGTGATGACATAAAGCTCAGTCATATAGTGATTCTTTGTATACCGGTGCCCCTTCCCCAACATACACATTCCCTATATGTGCCCTCAACTCCCGTTAGAGCCTCCCCACCCGCTCGCTAAATTTCCTGTAGAATCACTACTTCCAAGGAATCTTCAATCCCTACACGACCCCCGACATCTCTTACGGAACCTGATATGTGTTTTGATGCACAGGCGGGAGCGTGGGTTCCTCTACCTTGTCGTAAGTTGGGCCGGCCTCTCCTCCGAATGGCCCGATGATGCCGTAATCTCCTCCCCTCTCCTGCACAGCTCGGCCAAGCAGAAGGCAACTCAAGGGCCGCATGAGCAGGTTGAAGCAGCATATACTTATTCATCTCAGTCAAGGAATGCAATATAGCTGTTAAGCTGCAACACTGTAACACATCTGCTAGCCAAAGAACTACATACAGAATCAAATTTTAATCAAAGCTCAGAGAGACTTGGCATCGTTTCTAATTTCCAAGATTCAGTACAGTGAATGTTATGGTAAACATAAATGGGACATGATGCACACTTGTGCTCACATCGTTATTAAAGAGCGATTTCATCGCAGGAGATCTAGCCATTCATGTCCTCTGCCAGGGACTCACACTCATGTATATCAATATTACTTTTAGAAAATTGCACAAAACTCTATGTACGATGGTAAATAATTCTTTGAAAGGATACACAGCGCAAAATCGAAGCAGGGAGAGCTTCCCTAAAAAAACAAAAATGTGACAAAATGTCTTATAATCTTATAAATGTCTAGGGATTATGACCATCACCACTGCATATGTTATAGCTGCTACAATACATCTCCTCAGTTTATAAATCTCTTAGCAAACTATCAAACACTATTACAATGCTGTCAAGCACAAACGTGAATGGAATGCAGACAGCGATTTTTAGGTTTCATAATCCTTTCTGGCTTGAGGTACAACTGTACAATTACAAAGACAGTGTTACAAACCTCTTATCCTGGCTCCATTTTCGTCAAGAACAGCTTTCATTTCGGGGAATGCCGTTGCCAGGATGATTATGTCAGTGACAATAGCAAAGACATTGATGACAAGTGCCTGAAAATAAGAAGTGGTAATTAGTTTTGGGTAAACTAGAGATTATGTAATATGGTTTTTACCAACCCATGCGTGCATTCATCTATTCATATGATATTATTATGTACTCCTTTACCCACCCTATCAAATCTATCTAACAGATCAATCTATCTGAACAGGTTTTGCCTTCCCACCCACACCTAATAAAGGAACGGTAAAGTAAGCCTGTGAACTGCAGCTATATATATCTGAAGTTAACATTAAAATTTGGCCAAAGGACATTATACGTAACCAGTAGGAGTTCTTACTACAAATTGAACATTCAATATATTTATGAACTTATGAAACAACTTGTTGCCAACTCAATGCACATACCAGCCATACAGGATCCGGTGAGTCACGTTTTACCATGGCCCACAGTAATACAGCAAGGAAGAAAGCATTGTAGTACACGTATGCATTTGGAACCCATCCTAATAGCATTACCCTGAAATATTGAGAAACTTAATTCTATACATGGTCACCTTTAATCCTATCTAAAATAATAGTCATCCATTTCTTTATTACATTATAAGTAAATAAAAATTCATGGAAATAAAGTTCTATATATATAGCAAAAAAGAAGAAAAATATATAATCACCATGTGGACAGTGTGAAGTGGACCAGGAACACGACCTAAAAATGGAATATGGTCAAACACATGAGTAAAATTACAATTTCAAATTTTAATATGAGAAATTATGAGTCAAAGATGCAAGTATGCAAGTCAAAGCTTGCAAGTACAGAGAAAACTATGTAACTATCCAACTACAGCCACTGATATAGTGACTGTTTACCTACATGATATCCCTCTTCCTCTTGCCATCTTCAAACCTTACGGAAAGGTTTACGTAGATAGAAGAAACATGTAAAGTTCTGCATCTATGCGACTAAAGTCGTTTCACTCTCACTTGACCAAATTTAAATACCAACCAGCCTATTTCTATCATGGTATAACTTTGTAAAGTAATGATAACTAGAAAGGGCAGTTGTCGCCAACTACATGTATCCCCCGTGTTCTCCTCAAGATGTGTAAGTAGTGATGTCACGATCATCGATTATACTCGATCATCGGGTGAACAGTGGCTCGAACCAAGCGCTTGGTTATCAAAATCCATAATCGATTTCATCGGGAAAAAAAATCGAAACAAAAAAAATTTCGAAAAAGTGATGAGAATCAGAGATATCATCGCTACTATACAAGTTATCCTTTATTAACATATACATGTATTATACACACAGTAGTAAACACGGCTAAACAAGCACATACATGCACACACGTACATGCACACACGTACATGCACACGACGTTACGCACACGCAGGCATTCAACACCCTGAGTAACCGATTGTAACCGATCATCGGTTACTTGGGTCCAACCGATGATCGATTACAAAATTACAACCGATTGACAACACTATGTGTAAGTATACGAAGTAGGGTCGCACTAGGTCAATTAGGGGCCGAGTTATAGAGCGGAAGAGAAATATGATGAAGGTCAAGGTCAAGGTCAATGTCAAATAAAGGTTGCAGTGACCTGGTTTCGGTACGCGACACACACTCTCCCCAAGATGTGTAAGTATACCAAGTTTGGTAGCGCTAGGTCAATGGGGTTAGCCGCGGGAGGGCAGCACATCTGCAGAGGTGAAGATTATAATAGATAGTGCACGGTGATATTAGTGGTGCATATTGTGAAGTGGGTGTTTATTCTTTTGTGTTTATTCACATGACTCTTCGCATGTCAGCGGAAAGTACATTTCATGGTCCTTTCAATAAAGCCATAAAAATGGTAGGTCACCGCTGAAACAAAAAAGTTCCATGTCCTCAGAAAATGTCTAAAATCTGCCCTGAGCCCCATTGACCTTTGACCTCCAATTTCGGCACAGTGATGGCTTTTCCTACCATGATGCTATACACCGACTATCACAAGCCTAGGTCGAGCCGTTTAGATTTGTGCCGCAATTCTGCATTTCCTCACTATACCTTAAGTTAAGGAGGGAATGTTCCCCCTTCTTTTGCACCTCTTGACCTTTGACCCCCAGCTTCGACATCCCAAATCGTTTTCGAATTACCCCCCCACGTCCCGAATATCGTGACCGTACGTCGAGCGGTTAAGATTTGTGCCCAACTGTTGACGAACGGACGAACGGACGGACGATCATGTGATTCTACAAGCTGCACCTGACTACGTCAGATGAGCTAATAATAATAATATATAACTTTATATAACTATATGTAGTAGTTTTTGAAGTTATATATATGCATATATCATCATAATATCTTATTGCATAATTATGATGCAATAAATTATGCCTGGCACAATGCCAGTTTCCATGTTGTTCCTCAAACTCCTAGAACTCAGCTATTCCTAGGCGCTAGGAGAGTACGAGTAGAGCTGGTCTAAATATTAAAGGCAGTAAATATAAAAATATATTTATATATTGTAAATATATTGGGCCATAGATACCAACAAGAGTTGGGTTACCTACAGGCTACATATTGTAATTTGTATCTATTATCTAGTAGTACTGTACCTGCAACGGAACAGTTCTAATGTTACTGAAGTCCTCAAACGGCATAGTGTTGTTTGGTGTTCGACTTCACGTAATCCTCATGTGCAGGAATTGTGTAATTACACTAATATGAAAATTTCGTGCCAAATAAAAATGCACGAATGCCTGACTCAGTGACGTCAGTCGGTCGGAATCATTCACAAGCTAGTTCTCAGCGTGTTCAGAGAAGTTTAGATCCGTGTTAGAAGTTTAGAGAGTGTTACTGTTCAGGTTCTGTTTACCCAAGTCACGAGTCACGGCGCAGCGCCCTGTTTTTGCTAGACTGGTACTCGCTCCCACCTCGATTACTCGATGGGAGCAGCTAGGGAGCTACCTAAGCCGAGAAGTGGGACCGGGTACCAGTCTATGTTTTTGCCTTACGTGAAATTTATTAACTTTTGTCTAAGATTACCAAAGTTACATGAAATGCATAGCTATTCCACAACGCACTATTGTTACAATATTAATTCTGAAAAGTAGTAGAGGCTTTTTGTAAATGTTATTATTTTATTTAGGAAGTTTTAGAAGCGCAATCTGGCGGTACTTTTAGGAACTACTTTTATTGAGCACATTGGAATAGATAGATAATAGTCCATAGAAATAGATAGATAAATAGATAGATGGTTATCTATCTATTTCTATGGTTATATCACACCCCTCACAGCAGGCTATCTCAGAAACCACCGCGCCGATGCATGTATGCATGCAAACTCCACGACAGATGGCGCTCTCGCTCTGGCTCAATCCTGAGGGGTTTGTCTATATTCAGGCCGGTACAGGAGATAATTTGCATATTTTGTCACGTGGTTTGTGTTATAACCAATCAGATGTAATCGCGGTGGAGAGGAGAGGGCAAGCTGGTGGAGAAGGAGGGGGGAGAGGGAGAAGGTGGGTGAGGAGGGGGAGAGAAGCTGCGTGCGAGAAGTGGGAGCGGATAGGCTGGTGCGGAGCCAGGTGCGGGAGAACATGGAGGAGGTGGGAGGATGGAGTGTGAGAGTGGCAGGGAGGTGCCCTTCTCCCCTGGCACCCCTTCTCCCTTCTACCACCTCCTCCTTCTCACCAGCTTCTCCCTTCTTCCTTCTTCACTTCTCCACCAGCTTCTCCCCCTCCTCCTTCTCCACAGCTTCTCCCCTCCTCCTTCTCCACCACTTTTCCCTTCTCCCTTCCTCCTTCTCCACCAGCTTCTCCCCTCCTTCTCCACTATAATATAGCTTCTCCCCCTCCTCCACCACCTTCTCCCCTCCTCCTTCTCCACCAGCTTCTCCCCTCCTCTTTCTCCACCACCTTCTCCCTTCTCCCCTTCCTCCTTCTCCCCTCCTCCTTCTCCACCACCTTCTCCCTTCTCCCCTTCCTCCTCCTTCACCATCTTCTTCACAGCTGGAAGTGACGTCACGAACACGCGATTAAAACCGATTGGTTATAACACAAAACAACGTGATAAAATATGCAAATTATCTCCTGTACCGGCCTGAATATAGACAAACCCAATCCTGAGTGTGGGAAGGGGGCGCTGCATGCAGTTTGGTATGCATGTAGCTCTAGTAGTAACTATAGCCCGCGTACAGTTGCCGCAGCGCAGGGGGGGGGGACGACGGGGTATATGCATAGATCTACTGAATCAGGGCCGCAGGCCGAGCAAATTTATGCGGGGAAGGGGAGGCAAAACTTTGAGTCAAAATAAATAAATTGCTCCAAAAATCTATTGGCGAGTAGCTGGCCTCTTTTTGGGCACGAAGGATACGTATCGCTACGTTCGTTTTTTTTATATATGAGGAAACCAATACGATACAATATATCATGATGGGGTTTGGGGCTTTCGGGTTAGAGTATGGGGCATGTTTATTAGTACGTTATGCTAAGGACAGCAATGGGTTTTATCTCAGGGAAGGTGACAATCTACGCAAACTACCATGTGATCTTTTCACAGACACAAAACACATATTGTTATTACCGTTTTAATAATGTTTTCATTTGTATTTTGGTTTTTCTATTACTAAAGTAGATTAAATGTTGATGCTAGAGAAAAATACGCTAAATAAAATACTCAGAAATCTTCAAGTACCCAGGACGTAAAATAATTTATTATCTTGTTTCCTATCGTAAACGGCCAAGGGTACTTTCCAATGCGCTGCACAAACACACAAACAATGGCTGATAAATGTGCATAGGAAAATTTCATGATACATCCATAACCACCCGCAATTTTCATTCTATCACCACCTACAGATTCTTAACAAATGCCTTTAAATGCTTGTACAAAGAAAACCACAAGTTCTGACGATGTCTACCGACTCTTCCGAACCTTACCACCGATCTGATTAGTTCAACCGTATAACGCGCAGCCAAAGATAGTCAGTGCGACTAACGGCACGCGCGAACGCACCAATAAACAAACAGCTGAGAAAATACGAGTGAAACAGAGGATAGGTCTGGGGGATATATCGAACAATTCGCCGTCCAGCGCACGAGGGCAAACCAGCTAATGCAGTCTCTCTGGCAACAAAACTTGCACGCTGGTGCAGTGTGTAACGTCACTATGGCAACTACTCTGAATCGATAATGATTTCCTCTTCCTTTATGAAAAATTCAATTGTCTCCTCCTCCAGATCTTCAGATTCTTGTTCGTCAACTTGTCCTGAACCAGAAAAATGCAATGTAAACCCAAGGTTAGGATGCAGCCATCTACTCGTGCACACACACAGCACACAGCTCGAACGTGAATGAGTGTTGACATTGTATGGGCATTCAAGCTAGATATGCATTAAACCACTGTACAAGTCATAGATGAGGCATGAGAAAACACCACCACTACCACCACCACCACCACCACCACCACCACAGTGAAACTTGAGTTACTTCACTTAAATTGAGAAATTAAACGCTGACAGCCTCCAAACCCGCAGGCAGACACGCACCTTTGCGTAGCTCCTCACGCTGATCAGCCAGCGACTCGTAGATATCGTGGCATTTCTTTCTGTAGTCGTTGAACTCCTTCATAAGCTCCTGCCGTTTCTCTATCAGTTCCTATAGCCAACCAATAATAGTGTCAATGCACGTAAAAGTTATCAACACTTCTAACTCTCCCATCTTACACTATCACTTCTTCCTCTCTAGCACCTCTTCCACTGTCATCCTCTACGTCCCTCAGTTCCATTTGTCAATTTTTCTCTCGCCTTTCCCCTCTTTCCCTCTCTACACATTTTCCCGCAGTTCTTCAGTATGCGTGCTTAAGATAGCAAATCGATGAAATCGAACTTTACTCTTATTTACTCTACATCTATCACCATTTTACCTTTGATGCCTTGGACTGGGTCATCTTATCCTTGAGGTCAAACCCTGCCGCATACTTCTTCAGGTTCTTCTTGATCTCCTTCATATGATCCTTGGTGAGTAGCGTTGGTGGACGAGGACGCCACAGCACCTGACAAAACCGATCGATCGCGTGCCGCTGCATCAGCTTGCCTTGGAACGACCACAGCCAGTAGCCGGTATCCTCCTGTACGCCACGCACACAACAACGTAAGTAAGTAAAAACTTTATTTAACGACGGTAAAACATGTTAGGTACAGACACAATAAAATGGCGCGGACCTATCTTCCACATGGCCGTCTCACAGCAATAGAACAGTTCAACGGCCTTGTGAACAAACGTCGCCGAACAACGCAAACAAATAAAACGGCTTCACGGCGACCGAAGCGAAGGGCACATTTACGGGTACCGTACACTTCCGAGACGCCATGTCCCCCTCTCCAATTTCTATCCTACGCTGGCTGTCAGACCAGGCGCGCACGCTTCAAGGGGGTTCAGCAGTGGTGAGCAGCATGCTTCGCCTTTTCACGGGGTCGATCGGCCCAAGCCCCGTAAACATCCCCATCTCCGGTGTCCACAGGATTTTTTGTCCGGCACCGTCAAATTTGGAGATTTTAAAGCTTTTATTACATAATTCATCAGTATAAAAAAATCAGCCCCGTCTAAAGAAAATAAGCCCCGTCGAGTAAACGACAGGGCCTTCTTTCAGGCCCCGTGGTTTTCTCAGACGGCGAAGCCTGGCGAGCAGGAAACGCACCCGGCACGTCCACCAGCTGACGGCCGATATCACGTAGCGTCCTGTCGGGTCCCACTCGACATCGGTGGCGAGGTCGTGCTGCACGCCGTTCATCACCGTCACGTCGTTCGTGTCGACAAACTCCAGCACGCCGCCCAAGCCGCGCAGGCCCGCCAGCACGCAGAACTGCCCCTGCGGCGACCAGAACAGGTGGTTGGCCTGCCGCTTCTCCAACGACTCTGCGGAACAAGCAAACGGAGACGATCGTTAGCGAACGGCGCAGTAGCGCCGCCGACAGCGGCGACGATCGTTAGCGAACGGCGCAGCAGCGCGGCCGACTGCAGAGACGATCGTTAGCGAACGGCGCAGCAGCGCGGCCGACGGCGGAGACGATCGTTAGCGAACGGCGGCGACGATCGTTAGCGAACGGCGCAGCAGCACGGCCGACTGCAGAGACGATCGTTAGCGAACGGCGCAGCAGCGCGGCTGACGGCGGAGACGATCGTTAGCGAACGGCGCAGCAGCGCCACCGACGGCGGAGACGATCGTTAGCGAACGGCGCAGCAGCGCGGCCGACGGCGGAGACGATCGTTAGCGAACGGCGCAGCAGCGCGGCCGACGGCGGAGACGATCGTTAGCGAACGGCGCAGCAGCGCG